TGCCGTCGTTATTTCCAAAGATATTTAGGCGCTATATATCCCGTGAGCAGTTTAATGGTTCATAAAAAAACGGGCACGAATACGCATAGGGTATATATATCCGATAAATCATAGCCTCGATGCCGGGACTTTTACGAGGATCAAAGCTCGTCGCCGCCTATGTGTCCGATATAATGAACCGCGTAATGCTCGCGTATTAAATCCGCATCGAATGCGCGTGTGTGTATACGATAAAGACATCAAAAGCGGCAAAAATTACGTGATTTTTACGATGGAGCTACACGTTTTTATTATTATTTTTTTTTTTAAATGCCGCGCAAGATGTGCAGCTATGGGTTGGCCACAACAAACAACAACGGGGGGGCTGGGCTAGTACAGTATAGATGGGCGCAAAAATTCCGCAACCAAATAGCCCGTACGATGCGAGCTTTAAACTATTTAAACTTTTGTGTGTTCGGAATTTCAAAATTAATGAAGTATTTTCGATTGTTTCGCGTTCAGGAATAGCCCATGCACGAGCACTTTTCCTGGGTAAATTCAATATCCCCCCCGTCGACGTTATATTCGATTATGCCGTCGACAGCACACAGCTATATAGGCAGAGAGTGTTATAGTTTCACGCGATCATTGTTTTTGGTCCTCCGTCGTCGTTGTTGTGGGTGTGCGTGCCTGTTAGGGTTGTGCTGCTGCTGCTACATATCAGGGCAAAATTTGACGAGTACTTTCCCGCACCAAATTGGTTCAAGTTATCGCTCTATATAGCTCGGGCTCTTCGTTCTTCGTTGATCCGATTTGTGCCGCTGCTGCTACTGCTGCAACATGTGCTAGCTTCGCGTATACAGAGCTCTGCGTGTACATCGTGTGCTTGTCACAAGGAGATAGGCGCGTCTAGAGCTCAGTCACTCCGACGACGAACTACTACTATACTCTGTATCTGTGCTGTGCTTTGATGCTCGAGTTTCTAAAATGTATGTCCCCAAAGAAGTTGTGGGCAAGCAGATGCGCAGCAAGCAAGTCTGCATACCCTATATACTTGCAGACTCTTCGATCCACTGATAGTGAATCGACCACTGAATTTCGATCTGGTTACTGGACGAAGTCAGAGCTCTTGTCTTGTGTCTCGACACCGCCGAGAAACTGCGCTTAAGGAGCTATTGGGAAGCTCAGATGGCGAGAGGGCTATTCGGCGAAGACAAGACGGTCAACTGCGTGGGCGAGCGTGTGCAGCAGCTCCTGAGTCCGGCGTTCGCGCACAAGCTGCTGGGCGTCTTGACGGGAATCAACGAGAGCCAGGTGATTGGGGATAAGGAGCAGTTCCCCCTGTTTCTCAAGGCGCGACGAAAATAGCGCCATCACACCGGCAGCAAGAGACAGCCATGGTGGCCTTCGGACCCGAATCTTCTCTACTTCGATGCCGCGACTATGGACGCCAGCCGTTGCTATCAACCTCAACGCCAGTATCTCCATCGTTAGCAGCGCTAACGCCAGCAATACCGACACTACCAAAGTCACCAGCACCCAAAGAGGTGTTTATTGAGAAGGTAATTGAGGAGGAGGTGGTGGAAATGGAGAAGGACAAGATGATCTGTAACGCGAGGATAACTATGTTAGGTAATAATCAACAAACTTATTATTTCCTTTCTACCGTGACTTTTCAAACTTATAGCATTTTTACCCACGGCCACGAAACACACAGCCGAAATTTTGCGTTGCTGCAAAAAAAATGTACAGACAGGAGCAAGGTCCATCCCGTTCAGTTAAGTTGGCAGCTGAGCTCGGCGTCAACTCGGATAGTTTGGGCAAGTTGGTAAAGGCCGAGGTCCAATGCTGAGACGTCAAAAAGTTGTAGATCCAATACAAGATCTGTTCGGACAACGGCAAAAGAATGAAGGATACTTGACCGAGCGAGTATATCCATTGGCGAAAAAGGCCAACAGAAGTGCGGCGGAAGATCGGCAGAGGGCTGACCCATCAGGGGGTTCACACTCACGAGGATGATGGGTGGTCCTACGAGGACGACGTATTCATCGTCGATACGGCGCTCGAGCACCTCGGTGGGGTGCGCAAGGTACGAAACTGGCACCGATATACAAGGGGGCACCGTTTTAACAACGAAGAGGCGACGATAGAGCGTGTTATGGACCGGATGCACATGCTGGTCCGTAAACACATGAATACCCGTCTGTACGTGATTTTAATGGATGAAATGTCCGAGGAACTACCAGATGAGGACAGCCCGATCTACCTCCAATACCTCAAATTGAGGAAGAGGTTGCGGCACTACGCTGGCAGCAAGGACGAGCATGGTTGGCCAACTGTTGCGCGCTGGATCCCAGCAATTTTGACTTGTGCGTGCTCGCCAGATGTCCTTCAACGCTCATAGTTGACTAAGTCACAGACTTCGAGGTGAATTAGGGTAACATGAATTGGTCTTACGTTTTCGTAATACCATTAGGATTTGATGATATATGTTATAGGTCGTGAGCACAACCAAAAACTTAAAGGTCCAACTTGGCAAATCGCGCAAGGACTGCAAAGGCTTAGGCCTTCAACGTTGCGGGGATGCACTGGATCGCCGTGCTGATGATTCGGCAGGAGTCGTCAGTATGGCGATCTTATGTAGCCGATAGTTTAAAGCCGATCTGTTACTACGATTTTCCTAAAGGGACACTCAAAATGCTGGATTTGTAGGAGAACTTGACGTCGATTAGCTCGATGATCGACGTCTCCAACAAGCAGCAAAACGATGCTTGGAATTGCGGCATGTACACGCTAAGGAACCTGTGTACCCTTATATTAGAAGAAACCTGATTTACGAGCCCGAATCGTAAAGTCTAGCCGACAATTCGGCAGCAACGCTTTGCAAAGATTAATGATTTTAAGAATTAGCTGAACGATCCGGGCCACAGTTAAGCCCTGGCGGGGATAAGTCGATTGTGGGTGCCGGCGCTGCGCCACCTAGCGGTCGCTAGTGAAGCTTCTCAGTGCAAAAAGTGGGAAGGAGGCTTGGAGAGAAGCGAGAAATAATAAGATTGAGTATTTTAGTATAACTCAGGTTCCCCCCTAGCTTAAATACGCGAGCTAAATAGGTATGTACGGATCGCTAGGATCGGGTTTACCCTTACTCTATAATATGTCTGTAGCTACAGCCGAGAGCATCGAACTTCCACTCGACTAATTACTAATTTTGTCGATCAGCCGTACAGCACGAGGTGTCGGAAAATTGGCGGGCTGTGTTCAGTACATCGCGTGCGATTCGTAGCAGTTGTACTTGCTGCACTTTTGGGGGGATGTGCGCAAAACTTGGGATCGCTGCACGATGGTTTACCATTACGTATATAAAGCCCAAAATATTCTCTCTCTCGTTGCTTTGTATACAGCTCGATCGATATATACTGCGAACATTGTGAATTCAGCGGATTAAGTCAAATTTAATGGGAGAACTCGACAAGAGAGAAAGGAATATATTTTTTCAGAAGGTGAAAGCCACCGCCACGGAGGAGAATCTCTCTGTCTAGAGGAGTAAGAGTGAAGTGTGTGTGCGTGCGCAGCAACGAGCAGGAGGAAGAGGAAGTATTCATGCATAAAACATCAAATTTCATATTTAAAATTACAAATCGCCGGCTGAGCTTCAAAGCTGCTGCAGTCGCCGCTGCTACTGCCGTTGCGCGAGAAAGAGAGACAATGTACGCGCCCGAGTGTCGGATGAATTTTACAAAACTGCACACGACGAATTAACTTTCTACACTACGTACAGCGACTTTGTTAAAAGCACATATAGCTGTCCAGTTGGAAATGAGTTTATTTATGCCTAGAAAGGGTGGGGACACGCCTGAGAATAGATAATTCGAAAGCACGAGCAAACATACACATAAACGAGCTAATTCTAGATCAAGTCCATTAATTTTTGTTCTTCTCATTGGTAAGACTGACTTATTTAACTCACAAATTGATAAATTATTCTGAGATTTTACAGGAAAAAAAAAATTATTACCTTACTGATAATAATACGTTGTGTTTACTAAAAACGTCATCCTGAAACGTTCGTGTCTCGCAACGACGACGTTTGTTATTCTAAAAAAGAAAGATCGGTGATCATTTTGTATGTATAGTTAAACTTGGTCGTTCATTCCAGCACATTTTCCAACAAAGGCTCGCTCGCGAGCACCCGACAATATTAATAATAACAATAATCGTCGCTCCGTTCACTTGACCGCTGACCAGTTGGCTGTATTTAACTTACATACCGATTCTCGAGACTATAGAATCGTTCTAGTTACGCGTCGAGCGCGCGGTCATCCTCTACCGCCGCATCACCACCGAGCGAGCTCAAAAAGGCAGCAGCAGCAACAAAAAAAAAGGGAAATAGAACCTTGCCACCAATTTTCATTATTCATCCGATGAATAAATAAATGACCGACGCGCACACGTTGAAAGAGCAGCAGTGCACAGTGCAGTGGCAGAACTGACTTGAAAAAAAATTAATATTTCGTGCGAATCCATACTTCCTGCAATTTTAATAACACCCATTTGATGCATATCTTTTTTCAGTGAAAAGAGCTTCTCATGAATTATTGAACGCTTTTTATTATATGATCCGGTCTGCGCCGCGCTATATATACCACTCGTGCTTTACATTTTTCTTAACGCTGCCCCGTTGCTACTGCTTCTGCAAAGTTCCCTTTTTTATTTTTTTACAGTTTTTTTTTCTGTGCCCGCCGACGAGTTAGCTAAACGAAGAGCTACGCGCGTAATAATAATAATTATTATACACGCGCGCGCGCGAGCGGCCTAGGACAATATTTGCAATTTTAATAAAGCTTCGAAACTAATTTTCAGAGCTAGGCGGGAAAATTGTAATTTCGCTCGCTGCGTATTTTCGAAATAATAATTTTTCCGCACGTAGACCGGGTGAAAATGCGTGTGTCTGCAGGTTAGGTCGAGAAATTCTAAAGAAAGTGTATATATTGCTCGGCGCACCGATAACACGTAGTACTTACCGAAAATCTGTTCTTCGAGGCACATCCACGGGGCGGTTAATAAGATTTAGCTCATTTCTCGCGGCGCTTAATTATCGCACGTAGCAGCAGCAGCACTCGATATAGAGACCCACATCAGTGGCAGCAGCAGCATCAGCAGAAACACAGCAACAGGTGACGACGATCCACGCCGAGCTTTTTCTCTCTCCCCTCGTCGTGCCGCGTACGCAAGAAAGAGAGAGGCCTCGAAGTACACGGAGACTACCCACGGGGCGAAGCTCTACATCGCTCGCACACACATATGCACGCCGTGAGCTACGAGTGTGGACTGAGGGTCTATAGACGCACAGAGAGCTAGATATCGTAATGATCGGCCAAGCAAAGTCGTTGAATATGTATCAAAACTAGAGTCCGCGACTTGGACGCCTGCGACCGAATGTACTTACTTATACATCGCGAGCAAAGCTGGTTTTTTTAACGAACGTATATCGCCGTTGCTTACGAGTAAAAACACACATCATCGAAGCGCCGTGAAGAAAAACACACCTCTTTGGATACCATGAAAAAAAACACACCTCTTTGGAACGCTGCGAAAAAAAACATACCTCATCGGAGCTCTGCGAAAAAAAACACACCTCATCGGAGCGCTGCGAAAAAAAACACACCTCATAGAATGCCATGAAAAAAAACACAGCACATTGGATGCCGCGAAAAAAAACACAGCTCATTGGATGCCGCGAAAAAAAACACAGCTCACTGGATGCCGCGAAAAAAAAACACACCGAATCGAAATTTGTTGCGTTTTTATTCTGCTGTGTTTTTTTTCGCGGCATCCAATGAGGTGTGTTTTTTTTCGCGGCATCCAATGAGCTGTGTTTTTTTTCACGGTATCCAATGTGCTGTGTTTTTTTTCATGGCATTCAATGAGGTGTGTTTTTTTTCGTGGCGCTCCGATGAGGTGTGTTTTTTTTCACAGCATTCAATGAGCTGTGTTTTTTTTCGGGGCATTTTATCAGTATGTTTTTTTTCGTAGCGTTTTTCACTGTGTTTTTATTCGTAAGCAACGGCGATATATAGCGAGAGCGATGCGTTCAAAAACCGATTACCCGATTCCGCGGTGAGCGCGCATAATTCGAGACTGCTGAAAATAATTGGGAAAATAAATCAGCGTCGAGTTCGTGATATTGTCGGTGCTCGGGGGCGCGCGCGCGCTATTGACTCCAGCCAGATTGCACGAAATGAATAATCTCGGTTCAGAGGTGCCCGCGCAGCAAATTATCCGCAGCGCAATTGAGATTTGATACAGCCGAAAGTGGGGAGCGTGGACAAAACTCTAGACGTAAAAACACAACGGAACTCAGTTGAGTTGGTTTTTTTTTCTCGATTGAGTGTTGAATTGTCTTGGATGAGCAATTCCGGTTATTCCTAAAGTGACACATAAATCTTGGTAATTTTTTGTCGCTACACTTTCGAGTTAAAAGTTATTTTAGTTTTTTTTGTCATTGGAATTATTTTCAACTGTTTGCACTGACAAGAGAATTACCGCAGAATAACGAATAGGCTGTATATGAGTAGCGGCGTGTCGTTACTTAGTTCCTGTCATACTTGCCAGGTGGAGCGCGACACGCGCTCCTCGATAAATAATATAATTGGTAGACAAAATTCGATTCCCAAGAGCATGGCCAAAAAAAAGTCAATGCGAAATTCAGTCACGAAGATACCCAGGACTTATTATTTTCTCGTCCTACAGTGAGTACAGAGAGTTAGGAAGCGTTTTGTCTCATTCTTAATCGCAAGGCCTTACGATTCGTTTATAGGACTACAATTTTGAAAATTTTGATTGTAAGCCGTCTGAGTGAGTAAAGAGGCGCCACATTATGTGTCACACTAACGAACCCATCTCCGAACTCCCACTTTGGCCGCTAGATGGACATGGAGCTCTGAGTGCGTTTCCTCATGCGAGCGGACTTCGGCATAAAATACAGAAAGATTTTTTTTCCAGATGATTTGAACTCCTTGGGAGGTGATAATTTTACCTGAAACCTCTTTGCTTGTTAATTTTTTATTACAAAGAGTAGAAAAATTATTACGTCAGAAACATCAAGATTTTCAGAGCGACGGAAGCATTTTGCCACGATGCACATGTTATTCTGAAAAAAACGATCTGTTTCACGGTCGAGTGCATCACGCTCCGACACTGTGGATTGAAAACTGCTCGAAACAGCAGCAAGGCGTCATGCAAATGCGCACTGCCGCAACCACCACCTCCACCGCCACCACGCCAGCTTTTGAAAGCCACAAAATTGTTTCTTCAAACTGCGCTTGCTTACAAGAAGAGTATATATATACCTCGCAGGGCGCAGCCTGTTCACTCTTTCTCTCTCTCTCTCTCTCTTTCTCGCGCGCTCTCGCGCTAACATAATTTTTTTCTACGAGGCGGTTTCGAAATGATAAGTAAAAAAAAGGGAAGGTGAGGTACATCCAGAAAGTCGTAAGATAAAAAAGATATTAGGCTGCTGCTATGCATGAATAATGCATACAACTCGCGCGCGGAGTCTCGACGCTTAATAACAAAAACAACAAAGAGCACCCGACTAAATATATAATACCCACGGTCTTTTAATGAAACATTGCAAAGTGTATCGCCGCAGTCTAGCGCTGGGCGTAGGATGCTTACAATAAAGCTGCACCAAAGATTTTCCGCAGATGAACATTCGGCGGATAGCAATTAGAGCGTAAATATCGATAAAACTCATTCGGTAGGCCGAAAGTTACGCCTAAATGATTTTCGGGCTCCTGGCGAATTATTATTATGATCTACGTCTTGCGTTCGTTGCAGTTGGATCAATTTATAGGGGAGGAAAAAGAAACGAAGGGAGAAAGAAAAGAAAATCCCGAACGATCCGATACACACAGTCGATCGGCAAAAGTTGCAGCTACTGCTACTCTCCTGGATATCGGGCAAACTTTTAATCTTCGGCCGATATTACCGGGGCTAACATTATATGGGCTTGGCAGCGCACAAAAAGCAGCTCGGGGCTCGATTAATCAGGAAAAAAAGAGTAGTGTAGCAGTTTGCTATAACTAGAAAATAAATCGCCTCTCGTACGTACACGGTTACCTATAAGGTTGGCTGAACGAGGTAAGGATTAAGCTCGTGTAGTACAGTACGTGTACGAACGCGGGAGGAGGAAAAAGGAGGACGAGTGCGAGTAACTCTCTCGGAGTCGTTGGAAAATTGATAAACGGCTCGTCTCTCGCCAATTATATGTTTTTACGTATCACGGAGATTATCGAATACGATTGTGATATTTTTGAAATAAAAAATCCATCTCAAGTGCACAGTATATATTCACAGAGATGCAGTATTATACTCCGTCGCTGCGCTAAGTAAGTCTCAGTCGAGCTTTATAAACGCGTACAAATACGATGCGCTGCAGATGTACTACGTCCTCTAAAGCCGAATAATATTCTGGACCATTTTGGTTTTAGTGGTTTCTGCTATTTGCCCGGGGAAATTGCACCTGCTGATGTCACATCCGTTGACTCCTCGTCTCTCTCTCTCGACCTTCCATTCTCCCTACCTCCCCAGTCGATTGTTATATACATATAAGAGGGACGACGACGACGACGCTGCAACAGAGCGGCAAGGACAGATCGATCGGGGATGACTGTACTATACAACACTGCCGATCCTTTGGCTGTTAACGACGTACTTTCGACTACATAGCTGGCACACAATCACACACACACACACACACTAGGCAAATTGAAATATCGTCGCTCGCGCGTATAAGACTCGAGGGAAGAATGCAGCAGGGCCTGGCTCGTGGCGATGGCTTAATCGAGTTCTGCGGTCGCGCGTCCTACCCGGACTAATAGGTAATCTCGTCTCGCCGAATGGTCAGCGCGCGCGACAATCGGTAATAAGCCGCTTTACGCTGGGGCTTGCGGAGGCCGGGCGCTTCTTCATCCTCTCTGCACAGGACGAAGCTAATTCGAGGCTCGGTCGTACGGTCGATCCTTGAGAATATGCCGCGCGTCGAGTGCATTGACTGCTACGTAAAGCCTCGGCTATATACAGACGCGGTCTCGATTTCGCTCTGTCTCTGCGTCTCGGTGAAAATTACTGCGTGATGCACATCCGAGAGAGATAGAAGGAGAGAGAGGAGATATTTGCTGTGTCAGTATAGAGGACCGTATATATAAGGGAGAGAGCTCGATTTACCGAAGATGCAGGCTCTAGAAGCATGACGAACAATGGCTCGAGCTCGAAGGGTCTGGATCTCAATCAAGTTGTTGCAACCCTCACTGCTGCAGCAAGTGCAGTGCAGAACATCGATCCTAGCGGAGCTTGCGTCCGCACGAGTCCAATAATAATTATTGTTGCCCTCGAATGCGTAAATAATGAATTACGTACGTCACTGCTGGTGTACCTAGTGCGCAGCAGCCTAGGCATCGGCGTCAGCTAGTAGGGAAGTTTTCGACAGGAGTCAGGCTTGCAACAACAATAATATATAACGAGTAGTCGCTCGGGCAGAGTTTGCGTAACCCCCACTCGACAAAGCCCGTAAGCAGTATATGGCATAGAGACACGCTGCAACACGAGAGGCTTGCGCAACGTCCGTGAGAGTAAGAGAGAGAGAGAGAGAGAGAGAGTTGGAAAAGTCGTCCTAGCAACTACACGCGCGCGTTATGTAACACCAAGACGCATTATAGATATTAAACACCCTCCGCGAACGTGTTCGTATACCGTCGTCGTCGTCGTTTGTGTAGTCGTCAAGAAAACGTAGCCACGACGACGACGACGCTGAGCAAGATAGTGTAGAGCTGCTGTGTACTGGCAAATGAGAGTGCACGCATGTAGCAACAGCACCTGACGCGAGACGACGACGACGGAGACACCGAAAGCATGGGACGAGGATTTTGCATCAGGCTGATTATTTTGCTGAAAGGATGTATCTTTCTCTCTCCTTCTCTTATTCGTAGTAGCGATAATAATATACGCGCGCCGAGGCCGAGCTTTTCGGTTGCTGTATATACGCTGCTGCTGCTGCTGCGCGAAAAGTAAAGAGACGTACAAGCACAAACATGCATGCACTGCTTTCAATCAGGATTAATGCTTTTATATATATCTGAATATATGTACTTCTTTTCGAGAGCTTTTTGTAAAGCTCTCTCTCTCTCCTGCGCGCAGTACATTAAAAATGACAGTACGTGGGTCTTTTTTAGTCGCGCATGAGCTTCAAATTTCGTTTATAATTCACGCTCGCTATTCGCAGAATTAGCTCTCTCGACACACGAGCCGTACATAAATTCGAGGCCTCGAGATCGTG